TCGACTTGGCTTTCATGTAAAGTTGTTCTACGCTTGTTAATGCTTATTTTTATTATTATAGTAATATATCTTATTTTAATAAAAATTATTTGTTGATTATATTATTAATATATAATATACTGATATTACTATTATTATTTTCATTTAAACATGATTCACTGTATTATATATAAGCATTAACAAGCGTAGAACAACTTTACATGAAAGCCAAGTCGATGCGTACAATTACGTATTTATTGACATCAAACGAAACTGCAACAAAAAGCATTAGCTAGAAATTTTTTAAATTGCATGTACTTGAAAATATGTTGCTTGTTATTATCAGCCTTTTATGTTAAAAGTAATTTATAAATGTAGTTATCTTAAACCGTACTAAAATATTTTTCATTATTAACTTCATATTACATTGAAAGTGTTCCAATGGATTTTACTAAGTGTAGTTTCAATTAATTTTGAGAAATTCTCTGACGTTTTTTATTGTTTTCTCTTCAATATATATATTTTTGGATATTATTGTGCCGATATTTTCAAGAGTTGGTCTAATTGTTGGCTTAGATAGCCATTCAAGAGCACATTTTCATACATTGCCAGCGGGCGGGATACATTAAGTTTATAAAACAAAGTGATCTAATTTTGAAGGCTTTATTATGGAAATGATCACTGGCCTACCGAGTACATAAGAATCGCGACTAGAGCTATAGTAAGACAGTGTCTACACCTACTTAAATGCGGTCCTTTTTATGTCTTTCTCTTTCGCCAATTCCTTGTGACCATCCTAGTGTAACACGTGTTTGGGACTTTCGCCGAGTGGTTGGGTTATATCTAAAGAAAAAAAAAACCAGTAAGGCCAGGTGATAATGGTAAGGCCTGATGTTTTCGTTGGTACCTTTTTTATGCTTGCTTGCTCGGCTATCTTCAATCCATGGTCAGTCAATACCATTGTGTTTTTCATCATCTCTGCCGTGGTCATTGCCTTGTTTGTCTTGGCCGTTCGCAAGATTTCGTTCAAGCTCGATATATTTTGAACAGAGGCCTTTCAAATGAAAGCGTTGTATGACATAAAAAATTGATGGCCCTCATATAAACACTGGGCGAGGTAACACCTTCAAACCTCATATTTAAGGTTTATAAGGTTACAATTTTGCATCATTGCAAGTTTTTTCAAACGTCAATCGCTATCTTTACCTAAGGGCAATACAATGGCCAATAAGGCTATAAAACGATCCGAAAATTTTGCTCGATCACATGAATCTCCTTCTTAACAATTTGTAGCATTTTTGTGACAAAATTGTTAATAGATTTTGAGCTTGGCTAAGTACTTGCTGCAAAGGGTTGATTCCGAAGCTAAAACTGGCAGGCGTCTAGAATTGCTTAAAGACAATTGTGTTGCGTTCAACTCTATATTATTGTTAAAATGATATTTTTGAGAATATTTTCTCACAATAATTCATTTTTTTTTAATGGCTTCCACAATTTGTTCAATGTTTATTTAAATTAAAATTTTATTGCAATTTTTTATGCATTTTTCTTTCATTATTATTTGGTACTAAATAAGAAAAGTTTTTTTCTATTCATTATGACATTAATATAGCGGATAAGTAAATCTATGCGTTAAAAACGCCAGAACACCCCTTTAAGAACCGTTGGCTTAGAGCCAAATTGCATTTTCTGCTCGTTGTTTGCATAAATATTATGAAATTGTCTCAAAAGTCAATTCATTTAAAATGTTTTAACAATGAAAGTATAAATTAATTAAACTAGATATATTTATCTCATTATTTAAGTGT